AGATTAAAAAGAGAAATATAGAGAAAGAGTGAGCTATAGAGCTTGTGAGATTAATAAAAGAGAAGAACGAGAATTGGAGAAGAAATAGAAGCATAGAACAGAAAGTGAAAAGCAGCTAAAGAACAAGAAATAAAAAAAAGGAAGATTAAAGATTGGATTTGGCGGAGATGAAATTTTTTTTTATCTATGGAAGGCAAGTGGCAGATCTGGATCTGGGCGAGAAGGGAAAGAAAATTTTATTGAAAGAGAGAGGGTTAGGGTTAGGTTTAAGAGAAGGGAGTGAAAATATATTTATATATATATATTTCTTATTCGATTTTATTATTCGGTTGCTCGGTTTTTGGATTAGCAACTGAACACCGAACCGTTTAAGATCGGTCCAAGCTCGAAACCGAACATTTGAGCCCGAAGCCCGTTAAGCCCGAACCGAACACCATTTTTTCGGGTCGGTTGTCGATTGCCTGATTGGTTGCGGGTTTTGTGCCCACCCCTAGGTGGGAGTATTTCAAGTCCAATTTACACTATAAATTAGTTAGAGGAAGACAGTTTCTCAACCAAAATTACAAGGGGGACTAGGCATTAAGAAGCGTCGTAAACTTAACATTGCTTGCCTTCTTAAACTTATCTGGAGATTTAAAACTCAAATTCAGAGCCCATGGGTTCTCCTCCTCAGTTCAAAATACTCAAATCACCCACACCATAATAAGTGCACCCACATTTGGAGAACTATGGCCACTCTCTTCCTAGACTTTTATAAAGGAATTACTTGATGCATCAACAAAGGTCATCAAGTGAATTTCCTCCATGATGGTTGGCTGTCCTCTGGCCCAATTGCTTGTAGTGTTTTTGGCCCCTTCTCTCCACATGAATCTTCTTTTACTGTAGTTGACACCATTGCTTTTTGATCTTCCTTTGGTGACCTTCATTGTGTCGTTCCTCCCTCTCTTGGAAGAATTGTCATCTCCTACCTTGACCTTGCCAACCCAGATGAGAATGATCTTCTTGCATGGAAGAACTCCCTAAATGGCTCTTTCACAATCTCTTCTGCTTACAAACTCTTACGCAATACTTCACCCCAACCAAATAACTGGCTTTAGTAGTGGAAAAGTCCAACCATCCCACAGATCAAGTTTTTCATCTGGCTCCTTGCTCACAAACACATTGTTTCTCGCCTTCTTCTTGCTAATAGAAGTCTCCATATCCTTGCTACATGTCTAAGATGTAACTCCTCGGGTGAATCCACTATTCACCTCATCCGTAATTGCCCCCCAATTTCTCACTTTTGGAACTCTCTTCTTATCCCAACCCTCCTCCTCCCTAGCTTCAACCGTGATCTCTTTAATTGGCTCCAAGCCAATTGCTCTTCTACCCTTATGTCGGTTCGCCCTCAAATTCCCTGGTCCACCCTCTTCTACTTAGTCCTTTGCTGTATTTGGAATGATAAGAACTTATGGTGCTTTAAACATCAAACCAACCTTCAACAAATCCTAGCCAAATCTCTAGCTTTTGCCATGGAATTTTGGTCCTTGTGCCCCCACCCAATCCCAAACTCTTCATGTAGCTTTGTCCCTATTAAATGGGTTCCTCCCCATACTAGATGGATTAAACTTAACTTCGATGGTTCCTCACTTTCAAATCCTGGTAATGCTGGTGCTGGAGGCACCCTCCATGATGACTAGGGTAATTGGATTAAATTAAGGTTTTACGAAAAACCTTAACGCATCTGAGTTATGGAGGACTAAAATAGGACTTGAGCTAGCTCTCTAACTGGGTTTTAAAAGGATTGAAATTAAATCTAACTCCTTACTTGCTATTAACATTCTATCCCACAAAAATACTGCTAGTAAATCTCATTACTCATTAGTTTCTATTTGCATATCATTGATCCTACAATTTGATGATGCTGCTCTTCGTCATATTTTTCGTGAAGCAAATAATGTGAC